GATTTATTGGCTTTCCCTGGACCAGACTCTCTGAACACGGTCTCTCTATGAATCACAACGATTCTACCAAGCAAATGAATGGAACAGCAGTCTTCCCAATCTCCAAGGAAAATCCACTCCAGGCCAAACACCCAATTTAGTGAATGGAAGAGTCAGGGAGTAGAAGCAGGGTGCCAGGAGTAGGCCTGGCCCCTGAGCCCCACAGCTCTGCCAGAGCACTTAGCACCTCAGTCAAGCCAGAGCTTAAATTACCTCTCCCCTGCTTAGTGAGCTCCCTCCCAACACAGCTGTGAGCAGAAAGAGTACAAAGAACTGGGTCCCTACTTTGAACCACCATAGCTTGTCTCCTCAAGAGCCCAAAGAGGCACACCAAATACCCACTTTGTTGAGGACAACATAATTCACTCCTCACATCCCCATGAAATATTGCCTCATGAAATAAAGCCCATGGACTCATTGTCCCTGCTCCTGCTTTGCATTCAGAGGAGTGAATTTTCTCTAAAGGGGAAGGGTGCTCTGCTGAGATGCAGGGCAGGGACGTAAGTAGATGAGGACAATATTTCATGAGGATGTGAGGAGTGAATTATGTTGTCCTCAACAAAGTGGGTATTTGGTGTGCCTCTTTGTGCTCTTGAGGAGACATGCTATGGTGGTTCAAAGTATACATGAGTATTTACAAAGGTTGGCTTGTGCCGGACAGGTGACTTCCTGGAGAAGAGGATTACAGGTGCACAGCGTGCTGCTTCAGAGGAGGGAGAGGGGGACAAAATGTGAAGACATGAACAGCAAAAGGACTAAAGGAACAAGGGTTGTGTTCACTGTATAAAGGCCAATTTCGGATCTGGTGGAAAACAGGCAACCTGGGACTATTCACAACTGATGGAAGTACCGTTGGATGGGAACTCCTGAATAAGACCTGGAGAAACTAGACTGAAAGGATCTTGCTCCCCCCAGCATTCAAGGTCACTTGGGGAGGGCTTTAGCTTCAAGTGAGGATAAAAAGAAAGGAGAGATTTATCAGGGAGCCAAGATGGGTTGCACAGGGCTGAGCTCTGCAAGACAGCTGGAAAGATCTCAGCAAGGATGCCTCAAAGATTAGACTCTCAAATCAAAGCTAGAGCATCACCTGTCTATCAGGATAGAGCTGGGGGAGCATGCATGCAGTGGGCAAGGGGCTGGACTCGGTAGCATCTAGAATCTCATCCCATTCTGTGTTATTGTGAGTCTGTTTCTAACATTGATGAAAAGAAATTTCTTCTGCTCCAGACTCCTGCCTGAGGTTGATGCTCCTGACAGATGATTTGCCACTGGGGTTGAGTAATAACTGGTACCCTCAGTCTTCTCCAGAAAGACTGGGCATCTTGAGGACCAACTCTGAGGAGATATAAGGACAGGACTGTGAGGGCCAGAGGCATGAAGTGTCCTCACATTCAGTCGGCAGCAGCAAAAGCAGGAGATGGCCTTCCCACACTAGGGAGGTGACCCTGAGGAGGAGGATGGTTGCAGGGACTATGCCTCCCAATGGATGTGAGGCCAAGGCCATGGCATCAAGTATAGTCTGCAGGCCATACAGTGCACAGTGGCAACACACCCAAGAGGCCACCATTCACATCACAGACATTGTATGTGCGCATGTACACTCTATGTCCTGTTATGTTTATGATGGCAACTTCCCAGCAGGTGGTGGTAAAGTGTCTTGAGGAAGGGCTGCCTTTTTCTAGTTAACAAGAGCACTGTATGGACTAGCCCAGCCTCCTGGAGCCATAGTTTTCCCATTGCAGATGGATCTGCCAGACAAAGACAAGATCCCTTCACAACATTCAGCCCTTGCTGACATTCTCCAGACAGACAAAGATTTTTTTTAAAAAAATTTTTAAGGCGACCTAAGGATCTTTCTAAAATGTTTACTGTGCAGTAGATTTGCCTGCAAATCAACATCAATTATACGAGCACTTAGAGCTTGGGGTTTTTTTATTACCAGGCCTGCGCCCTGTGCTCCGACTCCAGCAGTCCTGCCCTGTGTTTGAAAAGCTGAGAAAGCTGCAAATTTGCATGCACTCAAACAAGCCATTATCAGTCCCAGCAGACAGGCTCTGGGTTTTGTTGGCATAACAAGGGAACATTCATCCCTGAGGTATTAGTAATATGACCTGGCTCTCAGAAGGAGTTGACTCCTTGCTACCATCCTGGGAAGACAAGGAAGCACCAGAGAAGTGGGAGAGAGATTCTGCAGGCTCTCAAGGAAAGTTCTTAGGTAAGTGTAGTCTGCCCCACACAGCACTCTGCCACTGGGAGCCACACTGGCACACACGTGTAAATGATCCCATTTACAGAACTGACTTCTGAGCCGGAGGCCCAGTGGGAGCAAGCCAGCAGCGCACACTTCCAAAGATCATGTTAATTACCTCCCAGGAGAGAAGTCATGGCATTTCCCAGCCAATGAGGGCGCCCCAGTCACAGACCATCACAGCCTGATTGGCTAAGGCAAAGCCAGGCCTCTCTTCTCAGGTAAACAACCTGAAACCTGGCTCAGAGGAGCTGGTACCTTGGGAGGTCTGGCGTGTTTGGGGGCCTCCGCCCAGCACTAAGACCTTGGTAACTAGTTTCTTAAGCTATTCCCAAGACACTGGTTAGCAGGGACTTGAACGCACCCAGTAGACAAAGTGAGTAGCAAACTTGCAGCTGGAGCCCCCAAAAGGGAGACAAACAAGGTTTCTGGTCGATTCTCCCTCCCTCCCCTTTGTCTCTGGGAGACCAAGTGTTCGGTCTCCCTCCTCAACTGGGCCTCAGTGTCAGGTTCTCCATTTGAAAATCCTGTCTTCACCTCCCACTTCTATGGGTAAATGAGACTATTCCTTTATATTCTGAGGGTGGGGGAGCATTTGCTCAGCACCAAGCTGGCCTGTGTTTGCAAAATAAAATGTGACAAAGCTCATATGTCCTCAAGAGTTGATTTTGTGTAAGGTACATGCGTGGCTCCAACCCCACCTCACTGGCTCAGGCACCCCCAACCTTGATCTCACCCCTGCCTCAAAACATTAAAGGGCAAGAGAGGCAAACCATCAGCCAACCACAGAACTGTAAGCTTGGAAATAAAAGAAGAAAATGATAAAATCCCTCTTTCCCCCTCCTCACTGAACTTCACCTGCTTAACAAGCAGCTCTAGAAGGAAGTGGGTCACTCCCCCACCCCTCAGTGTGGATGGTTCAGGAACCTGGTTCTCCTTCTAGACTCAAGATGTGCTCAGCTCCCCAAAAGGAATGGGGTGATAATTGGGAGGAAGGAGGAGAAAAAGAATGGATTGGGGAGCTTATGCTGAAAGTGCTGTGTGCTTATCCCCTCCCCCCCACTCCCCCCACCCCCACCCCCATGGGAGCACTCCAGTGGGAACACAGGCAGAGGGAGGGCACTGGGAGGTCTTTCCCACCTAAAGTGTCAACCTCCCAGCACCCTGCACAGGATGCACAAAGGCCATCTCTGTCTGCAGAAGGTGGGGGCAGGGTGTTGCCCACACCCTCCCACTCCCATTCCCTTCTCTCCAAGTGGAAGGTTTGGGTTCGTGGGATCATAAAGGGAAAAGAGCTGCTAACTAGTTACCATACAGGTAGAAATGAGGCTGTGGGGAGGATGGGAGGTGCCACCATCTGATTAGGAGGAGACCAGTGATGTGGCCACAAGCCAAGGCATACCGCAGCCACCAGGGCTGAAGAGGGGGATCTCCCTAGAGCGAGCATGTCAAACTCGTGGCGCGAGGGCCGCATGTGGCCCACAATGGATATTTTTGCAGCCCAGCCAATATAACGGTATGTAAGAAATGTTTTAATAAAAATTTTGTAACTTAATTTTTACAATATCCTGTTACACATAATTATTAATAACTAATTACAATGTTTGCTAATGACTGATTACTATAATTGTGTTCTCTTCATTTCCCTTACGCACAGGTGCACCATTTGTCTCCACTAATACTAGCAGCGAATATTTTAGCAGCCAATTGCCACATCATTAGTCTTGGACTGACTTGTTTGGTGTGCACAACAGGAAATATTTCGCTTTCAGAGAACAAGAAAAATAGGTTTATTTGCGTTACACTTATTAATCTGTACAGTTATTCAGTGTCTGGTAAGTTAATGTTTAAAAAATATTAATTTTTATTAAAATGTTCTATTATTTTATGTTAACAATTACTCATTTATTCCAGCCTTTGTATTCAACATGTCTCTATCGAAATAAACTTACGTTTCTATGAAAATTGCAGCTTTTGTTTTTTGCAACCCACCTAAACCTTGTCTATTTGGCCTTTGTTAGCCTTTGAGTTTGACATGCTTGACCTAGCGTCTCAGAGGGAGTCAGGCCCTGCTGGCACCTTGATCTTGGCCAGGGAAACTAAATTCAGTCTTCCGACCTCCAAAACTCTGCGAGAATGCATTTCTGTTGTTGTAAGCCACTAAGTTCAAGATAATTTGCTACTTACTACAGCCTCAGGAAACTATAACAATGCCCAAGCTGGTCGCTTTAGGCCCACTTCATCCCCTCGCTCCCCAGTTTCCACCACTGCACATAACCCCCTTTCCAATGATGTGCTGGCCCTCCTATTTGTACTTTAAACAATCACTTACTGAGCACTTAAAAAAGAAATTGTTTTCTAGTGGCAGAATTTCAGACAGGGGCAGGTGATGATCCAGTATTTGGGGACAAGAGAGCTTGGAGGATAAAGCAGAAAAACAGAGTCACTCACTATATCAAGTCGTTAGACCAGATTCATTTTTAGAGTTCCAGGCCCAGAATAGCTTTAGAATTGGAGTTAACCAGACTCTAGCCACCGTTGGTTTTCAGGAGGAAAGGGACCCATGGGAACCCTACATTGAGTAGCCAGAGGGACCCACAGAGGTAGGCCCACAGCTCCCCTAAGTAGAGGATTTGAAGCCAGATGTCCCTCTGCTTCTTAACTCCAGAAGGCCTACACCATCCAGACCACGTCCAGCCTGGGCTGTACCCACCTTCATTTCCTCAGAGGCGTTGCAAGAGCTACTGGAAGGGGATGCCCGTTTGCACCGCTGTTCTCCGCTGCTCATGGCCCAGGAGTTGGCAAAGTCGTAGGGGTCCGAGGTCAGACTCCCTGTGGAGAAAAGTTTCAGGAAAATTAAGCCACATTTATACCGATCCAGGACTTCTGAGTAAAAACTCTAGGTCTGTCATCTCCTGAACCAACTCCCATTAGATTCGTACATCGGCATCTGGGGTGGGAGTAGTTTTTGCGCAGCACACAACATAACACGACAGAGCACGGACCTCCAGAGCTCAGCCAGTGTTTGGGGAAGACAGCATGAAAAACAAGGAGTGTGCCCACCCATTCCCGCTTCTCCATGGCTTTGCATGCCATTGTCCCTGTGTGAAATGTTTTCCGCCCCCTTACTGCCTTGACTATCTCAACTCATTCTTCAAGATGTAGCTCCTGAACCACTTCCTCCAGGAAGGCCTTCAGAACAGACTCTGCTCCCTGTCCACCCCCCTAGCCTGGGTTGGGTGGGCTCCTTCTCTGTGCTCCCTCTCTCAAAATTCTCATCATCCTTTGTGTTGGCATCTGTTTTGCTTCTATTCAACCCCCACTTAACTCTGAGCTCCTTAATTCAGAGCACAGGCTGTGTACCTTATCTCTAAATTCTTATCTGGCATATTATGGATACTCAACATATTTTGCAGAATGAAGGTAAGATGTGACATGGAAACTATACCCTCCAATCACTGCACCCCTGTGCTCTCCAGTATCTGTGCCTTAGGGCTTATAACCGTCATGTTACTGTCAGCTACTCACAACCGGCTGTGAGGACCTCATGGGCCTACATGGCATGGTGCACAGTAGGTGCAGCCAGCAGCAGCATCAATAACACTGCTGAATCTTCATTTCAAAGAGCATTGAGGCAAGCAGCCTTTTTGTACAGCCAGGTCTAGAAGAGTAAAGCATGTTTCAAGATCAAATAATGAACTGGGAAATAGGAGACATACTATCCCTGGGGAAAGAAAAGAAAAGCAGAACCTTAGAAATGTAGTCAATTGGCTTCTGTGATGTCAGAAAAAAATGCCCCACCAAAGGTATATTTACTTCCTCATTCCCTGAACCTGGAATATTTCTTTATATGGCAAAAGATGTGATTAAGTTAAAGATCTTGAAAGAAAGAGTTTATCTCGCATTACCTGAGTATGCCTTAAATGCAATCACATATATCTTTGAAAGAGAGGCAGAGGGAGAACAGAGACACACATAGAGAAGGTGATATGAGGACAGAGGCAGAGATTGGAATGATACAGCTACGAGTCAAAGATTGCCAATAGTGGTTAGAAGAGGCAAGGAATAGATTCTCCCTTAGGGCCTCCAGAGAGAGTACAGTCCTGCCAACACCTTGATTTTGGACTTCTGGCCTCCTAGAATTGTGGAAGAACAAATTTCTGATGTTTTAAGCCATCAAGTTTGTGGTAGAAAGTAACTACAGGAAACTAATACATGGGAAAAGCCAAAGGGAAGGGAACTTAAATTTGTGGAGTTTCTCATGTGTGCCGGGCATCATGACAGGCGCTGCTCTCTGGGTTCTTGGTTATTCCATACCACACAAAGTAGCTCACTTTCTAATATACCATATTAAGAAAGAGGCAGAGCCGTAACCGGTTTGGCTCTATGGATAGAGCGTTGGCCTGTGGACTGAAAGGTCCCAGGTTCGATTCCGGTCAAGGGCATGTACCTTAGTTGCGGGCACATCCCCAGTAGGGGGTGTGCAGGAGGCAGCTGATCGATGTTTCTCTCTCATCGATGTTTCTAACTCTCTATCCCTCTCCCTTCTTCTCTGTAAAAAAAGAAAAGAAAGGAAAGGAAAGAAGAAAGAGGCAGAGAAGTGGCTTTGTGTTGGATGGGGAAAGCCCTAGAGAGAATTGAGACCCCTAGGGCCCAGTTTCTGCTCTAGTTCTATTACCCTATGTGATCTGGGGTTGATTCCACCATGCTTTTGAGCTCAATTTTTCATATGTAAAATAAGCGGTAAGACTAGATGACCTCCAAGATCCTCCCATTCTTGACCTCCCATGAAGTGAAACTCTAGGAGCTCAATCCGAAATGAAGCATAAGGATGTCTACTAGAATGACACAGGTTTGATTAAAACAATTAACAAACTTAATTCAATGAGTGTATATAGAATCCTGCAACATCAAAGAATACATACATAGAACAACTGCAAAAAAAGATTATGTACTAGGCCACAAACAAATCTACCCAAATTTCTAATTTAATTGAGAAATAAAAAATTTTAAATGTTTGGAAATTTTAAAAACATTTTATAGGTTACGAAAGAACTCAAAATGGGAATTGGAAAACTCATAGAACTAAATGAAAATATGTTACATATCAAAATTGGTGTGATGCAGCTAACATAGTACTTAAGGAAAATTAATAGCCTTACATGTACATATTGAACAATTAAAAGTTTGAGAAATCAGTGCTGGAAAAGACAAAAACAACTGATCTTACTATTTTCCAGTCCAATGAAAAAAATAGCCAACTGTTTCTTTACACACTAACCCCTTAATCAGAAGGGTAGTCAGGTGATAAGGAAGAAGGAGAACATATACAAATGCTCAGTTTTTGCAAGGGAGCATCACTAATTAAATATTTATGTAATTGAAATTACCAAAAATTAGTAGTGATTTCCACATTACCTGCATTGCTTGTGAACATACACACATGCGCGCACACACATAAACTGGCCTTTGGGGGCAGTGTTGAGCCCTTTCTTTATAGATTTCACCCATGAAGTTTTTTCATAGTGGTTCAGGGGGAGTTGTTCAAACCATGCAGCATTTACCAACCATCTCCCATGTGTAAGTTGCTATGGGGAATTCAAATTTGGACCAAGTCGGGTTTGAGGAGTTCCAAGATCTGGTGTGACGGAAAGTCTCGGCAGTGAGATGGAATGCTGAGAGATAAGGTTGGCGGCATACATTGAGGTGAGGTCCTGGAGAGGCTGGCATGCCAGGGGAGGAGCCATAGTGAAGGTTTATGAGCATAACCACACCTCCAGGAAATAGCACCCCAGAAAAGCTTACCTTCTTGAGTCCTAAAGTCATCTTCAGCAAAGATGTTAAAGTTGCCACACAGCCCACAGGTCTTGTTGGAGTATCTGTCTGACAGCAGGATTTGGATGCTGCCACTGCCATCCATCCTGGCCGCAAAGCCATAGGCCTCACTGGACAGCTTGTAGTACCCAGCCTCCGTTTCTAGATACAGCCCCTTGGAGGCATAGGGCATGGAGACACTGGAGGGACAAGGATGAGCTCAGGAAGTAGGCTTCTCAGACATTTTCTGGCTGTCCCTCCCGCCCTTCAACCCCAACCCCAGACTAAGGGTTCACACTGTGGTGTAAAGTGGCTGAGGGCCCGGACCAGCAGTCGGGAGCTCTGACTTCCTCTGGACCTATTTACTTCCTGTCTCTGGGCCCCAGCTTCTTCGTGTTAAAAATTAGAGGGGGGATGCAAGGGGTATTCCCAGACATTTGGGGCTTCTGACTTACCTCTGGTCCCCTTGCAGCACAGTACCATTGACAAACAAATGGATGTCAAAAAATTCCCCGAGATACACGGAGAGGCTCACTCTCTTGCCATTTTGGAAGTCCCCTGAAAGACAAGAGTCAGGAGTGGTGATTATTATCCAAAAAAGTTAATACATTTATTTATAATCATTACCTCTATAATCTTATCTCTGTAGAAAACTCCCCCCAAAAGATGTAACAAATGAGCAACAAAAATCTCCCCCAAAATCTCATTGCTCACTCATTTTATTCATCTAGAAACATTTATTGAGTGTCTTCTGGATACATAGCTTTCTAGTAGTCCCTTATATTTCTCAAAAGAAAAATGTAAAAGCATGACCTCTTTCTTCTGGGGGTTTACAATCTAAATAGAAAGCTAAGATGAGCATGAAAATATTGACTACATTGTAAGGCAGCAAATAAAAGTGAGTTGTTGGTAACAGGCACTCTAGGATGGGTTATTTAAAATGTTGTTGAACAGCTCTAAACAGGTGCATTGTTTAAAATGGAGATTCACAAGTCCCACCTCAATTTACTGATTTTACTCTCTGGAAGAAGTTTAGAGATTCTGTAAGTAAAGTTCATCATTCTGTGTGGGGAACTTACTTCGGACACAATAAAGAATCTGTTTTGCCCTTAGAGATTTTTGGATAGCCAAACACATGATAAAATAGTCTCTGACTACATGACCATGGTCCAGTTGTGAGGGACAAACAGAGACACGGGTGGTGGCAGTTACACAAAAGCAGAAAAACAGGTGGAGACACATTTTTGCAACATTATAAAGACCTGGCAACCCACAGCTAGTCCCTGAGAACCGGTGCTCGAGCAGGGCCCTTGGGATTCAAAGATGACTGAGAGGCCGTGGAGATGAAGGAGACAGAAGAACAGCGTAGAGTCTGACCTCAAGGCTTAGAGTCTGAGAAGCTGATGGAAATAGGAAAGGTGAGGACAGCCAGTGAGGACCGAGACGGAAGATGCTGGAGGAAGAGGGGGCTGGAGGAAGAGGGAGAGTACAGTGCCATGGGGCTCCTGTAGAAATGGGGCCCAGGGCCCAGGTGGAAAGTTAACTTTGGGAATGAGGACACGTGCCTTCTCCTAGCAGGGTCAGGGGAGTGTGGGCTCCAGCTCCTCAACACAAGAGGAGACAAGGATGTCTGTGGAAGGAAGTCCAGGAAACTTGGGAGGTTCGTTGACATGAGGTCCTATTGCCACAGCTGGGGCCACTGATAAAGAGAGTGAAGGACAAAGCCGCCTCAGTCACAGCCCAGCAGAGGTCTGCGAGGAAGAGTTCCCCAATGGGGGCCTGAGCTGGACCGAGGCTGCTGGAGGACAGCGGCCACCTGGGACACACATACACACACACACACACACACAAACACACACACACACACACACACTCATAACCAACCAGAATGAGTAAAAAAAAAAAAAATAAGACTGGTTTATGGTGAAATTTCAGTGAGGTCTGTCACATGTGAAGAACTAGCCCAACAAAAACATAAGCATGTATGCATAACCCATGGACACAGACAATAGTGTGGTGAAGGCCTGAAGTAGGGAAAGGGAATGGGCTAGAAGGGGTCACTGGGGGGAAAAGGGTACATCTGTAAAACTTTCAATAATAAGAATAAATTTTAAAAAAAAACAAGAACTAGCCCAGCAATTTTCAATCTTTTTTATCTCATGGCACATAAACTAATTAATAAAATTCTGCAGCACCCCAAAAAATACATGTTTTGCCAATCTGACAAAAAAAAATAGGTATAATTTTGATTCATTCACACCAGACAGCTATTGTTGTGTTGGCTGTTGTCATTTTTTATTTGACAATCTAAAGGAAAAGAGGTCAGTGCCTCTGACTAAATAGTCAGGTATGGCATGTTTTAAATATTCGTGCAGCATACCTGTTGGAAATCACTGAACTCGCCCATTCTAAGACTAGAGTCTTGAATGATATGGTGTTAGCAGCTCAGAGATCGCCAGGAAAGGCCTGAGTCCACACACCACACTGTGCAGAGCTCCAGACCCACAGTCAGGAGTCAAAGGAGACGCCAGCCGAGATGAAGGGCTTTCATCCTGTTTGACTAGGGTCTTGCCTGCCCTGCATTCTCACTTAAAACAGTTTTGCAGATAGCACGTCTTTAAAAAGTGGAGCAGACTTTCTGATAGCCAGAAATTAGCCAAAGAGAAACACACGAAACTAGACAGATAAGAGTAAATTGTTGATGGAAGAATCCAAGCGGTGAGTATATAGGTTTCCACTGTCCTATTCTATCACCTGTTCTGTATGTTTGGAAATGTTCATAATAAAATGTTGAAAACAAAAACAAATGAGACAGCTTGGCAACAAGCTCCGGTTTGCAGTGGACCAAAGACTAAATCCCTTCCCCGGCCTCTGTTGGGGCTGACAATGAATGCTACCCCCAGCTTGGAATGAGCCGGCTCCATCCATGACCTGCCTGCCAGAGAGGGTACAATGAACCCAAGAGGTCAGGGTATTCAGGTCCCTAATAACCACAGAGCCCATCACCCCATCAGGACAGTTCTCCCTGCCATCTACCCCCAGCCTCATAGAGCAGATGGGCAGGCAGTTCTGTCCCTGCTTCACTGGGTAACTCAATCAGTATGTCTGTCATCTCTGAGCCAAAGGCATGTCCCTCCTGGAAACAGGAGAGGACTCCCTGTGAGCCTCTCCCTTTAGCAGGCTCTCCCTCACCTTCTTGGAAATTCAGAAAGGGCCGTGAGAACAAGTCAGCCAGGAGTGTGTGGCTGGGGGTGGGTAAGGAAGGCTTTGGATACCATCAGGAGGCTTGGGGTGAGCCACCACCCTGCAGCCACAGATCTGCCAGTCCTCCAAGCTTTCACAGATGCAAAGTCAGCAAAGCAGCTGTTCCCCAGGAGACAGAGCTGAGCAGGTGCATAGGCACGCCCAGAGGCCACTCATGGCAAGGTTGAAAGATAGAGCCTACAAGGCTAGATAAGCCAAGAATGCAGCAGAAGCAGAAAGTCAAAGGAGAAGGAAGCAGGAGAATGTGAGACAGAGCCCCGAGGCTCCCACTGTGTGTGGGTGCATGGAGCCCCGCCCTGTTCAAGCAAATGATGAAGGCAGCCTGGCCCCACAGACCGTGGGACTTAGGTCCATCGGGGTTAGGGGTGCTGATACTTGAGGTAATTTGCCCATCATCATAGAGCTAGTGACTGATGACAGAGCTGGGACTCAGACCGGGTACTGGTTTAAGTATTTGAACGGTCAGCTCTGTTACCCCAGGAGAGATTAGCATTAGGAAGCAGACGAGGCAGCCTGATGGGCAGTGCCCACTGCCCACCGAGTGCTGTGTGAGGCAGCATCCCGGTGGGGACATGGGGCTGGCTTCCCAGGATCATCACCCATCTAAGGGCTCAAGTGGACAGGGGACTGGGATTGGAATCCTTAGTGAGGACTGAACTGCCAGGAGCCTGAGGGATGGCTGCCCCGGGGCAGCTGAGGGAGGCCCCAGATGCCGCCCATCCTCCTCTGAGGCAGGGCGCAGCAAGAGGAGTTTTGGAAATGTATCCTGGAGAAGTCTTCAATTCCGAAAAGCCTACTCTGGCAGCACTGTGAATCTTGGCGATCATCAAAACAAGTAGCTTTAAACCATTTTCCCCCAGAAAAGCAGAGTAAAAACACAATTTCCTTTACGAACCAGTACGTACACACGCACGCATTTCACACTACGATACTTATCCTGACCGTGTGCCATGCACTCAGATATTCTCTGATGTCTTCTGTTTTATTCCATTAATTTTGTAAAAGCTGGTTACATCCAGTAAGTTAATTCTGAGACCCCCAGGGCATGACTCGGCGTGAAAAACACTGGCTCCCTTTCAGGTGGAGAAACGGAAGCCTGAGTTTACAGCAGGGTTGCTCCATCTCGCACCAATGACACCTGGGCCAGGTACTTCCTTGTGGTGGGGCCGCTTCTACCCACCTGCAGCATCCACCCCCAGTTGTGACAACCCAAAATGTTCCGGACACTGCCAAATGTCCTCTGGGGGGAAATCACCCCAGTGAGAAGAGTTAACTTGGGGCGGAGCCCACACCTGGGTTTTCTGACTCACAGTCCAGATTCCCTTAGCCCCACAGCTGCCTAACAGGACACCTGGATTCAGTTAAGCACGAATGCAGGGGAGAACTCTAGGTCAGCCTTCTATTTTATTTGCTTGGTTCCCTCCCTGCAGAACTCGGGGGAATCATGATGTGCAGCCATTCGGAAGACAACCCTTTAGAAATTGCCAGTGAGCCTGGAGGAGGGGGAGAGCCTGGAGGGGACACACCCACACTCCTTACCTGCAGGTTAACACTTCCCATAGCTGCTAGGAGAAGATGGGCTGGGTCTCCACCTCCCAAGAGGCCAGAGCAAACCAGGGACACTCTCCCCATGGCTCCTGAGCTCAGTGCCTGAGGATCTAGGTGGGGAACAAGGTCTCCCCCTCATGTTGGAGAAGCAGCAGCCTGGAAAGCAGGCTGGCGATCGGAACCAGAGCAGCTCTGAGTGCTTTCTGGAATATTCGAGTGCGGAGTTGGCTAGTCTGCATTCCAAACGAACACTTCGCCCTCCCCTGTGATTCTGATGCAGATGATCATTATCCAAACGCTGAGAAACAGAAATCGGGTCTGATGCCATTCGCTGATGCGGACACTATGGCTTGGGCTGGGGAAGTGACTCAGCATGTTGGTGGGGGTTTCTGGCTCTCTCTGGGCTGGCTTGGGAGCCAGATCCTGCAGGGTGGCTTTAAAAGAGCAGTCTCTCCAAGCAGGACTCCTGTCGTCTCTTCCTTTTCCCCTCTGCTGGTGGCCTTGGCCTGGGACCCTGGAGCCTGCCTGCCTGCCCTGGAGGAGCCTGGTCAAGGAAAGGGCCTCCCCTTTGCACCGGGCGGCCCTTCAGGCTGAGACATAAACACTTTACTCAGGATGTGTACAAGGTCCACAGACACTCAGAGAGGAATGGGAATTTGCAAGTTAGAACTGAGAAAACAGGATGTCGTTGGAGAACAATGGAGCAGAGCTGTGTACGAGGACACAGTCATGCTCACGGAACTATACCCGCAGTGTCCAAGCCTGCTGGACCCTGGCCCCTGGCCCCATGCCCCTGAAGCAGCAGGGCCAGCCCCACCTCTCAGACCCAGCCTCCTCAGATTATTTCTCTCCTCCTTATGCCTTACTCACCACCACCATCAATTAAACCAATCTCCATTAAAGTGTGGTCCATAGCCTGGTCTAGGCCAATGACCTGCCAGAAAACTGACACTTGACAAGAGCAAATTGGTAGAAGAATAAGGACCCAGGGCAGAGAGAGGAGGGAGCACTGAGATGTTTTGAAAGCCTAACACAGCTCTTCGATTCCTCCTTGGCCACGAAACTCAGAGGATAGCCAGAGAGGCAGGCTAACATGTTGGGGAGGGTGTTGATGTTACCCTAACCTTGACAGAAATGGCCCCAGGACCCAGCAGCCCCTGGTCTCTACCTTGTTCCCATCAGACAAGTGCACGTCCTATAAGGTGGCTGCTTTCAGTCACTAAGGTTTGGGTAACACTTTACATGTGCAAATATTGTATCTCCCTTGGTCCTGACAATGTCTCTATTTTAAAGATGAGGACATGGAGGCTGCGAGACACTGTGTGACTCCCCTAAGGACACGCCATGAAGAGCCAGATTAGAGAGCACAGGTTTTATGACTCCAACTTTGGTTCTTTCTATGCTTCGATTTCCTGCTGGGGACTCAGCCACCAGGTCCTATGGGGAAAAAACTGTTGATGAGCCCAGTTCTAGAAAGGGTTGGGGTGGACGGGGTGGGATGGGGTGGGGTGGGGGCTTCCTGGAGGAGGTGACAGCGACAGCTCAGAGGCATCAGCATAGCTTGATAACCCTGACCATAAGGGGGAGGGTTCCAGAGTTGGGTTTAAGTAGTGGAGGGAACTTTTCCAACATGCTGCTCAACCCCCTGGCCCCAGAATGTGAACTCTGTGCCTGGTACTAAGAATGTGAACTCTGAGCCTGGTACTAAGATTTGATTACGTATTGCTCACAAACCCTTCTCCAGGGTGTGGGGTCAAGACAGCAACCCCTCCAAGGCACCCTAGTGTCTCCATGGAAACCCCTCTTCCTTGAAACACCGCTGAAGCTCAAAGCCATAGGGTATCGTTATTTCCTTCTTTCAAAATCTTCTCCGTTACCCTCCATTTCCACTGACACCCCCAGACCCATCACAGGTGGAAGGTCTCTACCACCTCCATCATGATTTTTATAGATAGATAATAGATAGATAGATGATTTTTATAGATAGATAATAAATAGATAGATAGAAAGATAATACAACTAAAAGAGAGGAAAAAATAAAAATGTTTTTTCCTTATAATGAGAACTTTTAAGATCTACTCTCTTAGCAACTTTCAAATACACCATACAGCAGAGTTGACTAGAGTCAGCATGTTATACCTTTCATCTCTAGTACTTATTTATCTTATAACTGGAATGTGATACCTTTTGAACACCTTCATCCAGTTCTCCACTCCCCACCTTCCAACCCTGGTAACCACAAATCTAGTCTCTTTCTCCTATGAGTTTGGTGTTACATTGTTTTGTTTTGCTTTTTGAGTCCACATATAAGTGAGCTCATACAGTATCTGTCTTTCTCTGATTTATTTCACATGGCACAATGCCCTCAGGTTCCATTCATGTTCCGACAAACGCACCATAATTTTTCAGGTAGAAAAATCCACTTAAAATAAACATTGGGACCACCTGAGATTGAAGGACCTAAGCCTTCACTTTCCCAGGGAAAGTAGGGCTTGCTTTTTTCCTCCCCAATGTGGGTCTGTCCATTGCCATCGCAACCTCCCCAAGGCTGAGGACCCCGCCTCTGCTTACGTTGTGTAGCATCCTTCACTCACGCAGCACACACATCTGATTAATTCTTAGAGTGAGAAGGTCACCAAAACCCAGTTTTCTGTCACTGCCTCCAGCCTCACTTCCAGCCTTGGAAAGTTCCTTCCCCCTGACAAACCCAAGATCAAAACCCAGGTCCTCCTTTCATTATCTGTCAGAGAATCAGACAACCTCTGTGAGTTCTCCATTTTCGAGACAGGAGTGATTATATCTGTCCCTACATCTCGGAACTACTGTGGGGGTGCAGCGATAACATGGGCATGATACCGGCAGTTTTCCAAGAACACGGGAAGTGCTCAACACTAGCGTGATGCTCTGAATTCCACCAAGAACACACAGAGATCCTTGCCTGGTGCTAGGGGCTTTGCCTGTTACAAAGCACCTTCTACTTCATCATTTCTCTTGATGCTTTGAGCTCCCAGAGTGTTGCCTGGACCCAGAGCAGTGGCCACAATCACTGGAGAAGCATGAAGACTCTCCATCCCACCAGGCTCCCTGGAGAGAGACCCACGGAGAAGCCAAGAGGAGCCCTGTGTGATGGAAAGGCCGTTCCCCACGGTGCTCTCTGCAGGATCTTCAAGAGCAGGCACTGTTGTAAGGTAATCTCCCCTACCCTTCAGACCCCCACATGCCAGGGCTGAGCTCAGCTGGCTCCCACTCCCTCTTCCTCCGTTCAGTGCCCAGGACTCACCTATGAGCGAGAAGGAATGTTTCTGGCAGTCCCCGGCCAGGAGGTAACTGCAGTCTCCAGCAAAGCTGTACATGCTCTCATCAAAGGTGCTGATGAAGTCGTCTCCAAAGAGGCTACATCGGGCCATTGGTGACCTGCCAAGTGACCTTTCTGCACAAAGGGTCCCTGGAGGGAGAGGTCACAGGTGAGCACAGCTGAGACCACCAGCCCCAAAAGCCTTGTAGAAATGAGGCTGCATCTCACAGAAATTGGGCTGTGGGGAAGTACTTTCCCTCCTAAACAAGGCTAAACCTGTTGCTTTCAGCCCCCAAATATGATCCAGGACTCGCAGCAACAATGGAGGAACAGTTTTTCAGGAAATCCATTTGGTTTAATGCCATTTCCATATGCATTTAAAATGTGATACATGCTCATTATAGAAAAGTTGGAGAATACAGAAGAAAAATACAAAAATGTTAAAATCATCCATAAGTAACATTCAGCAATAACTAGAGTTAACATTTTAGTATGTTTTTTCTTCTGTTTTACAGCATATACACAATTGTGGGTTTTTTATAAAATTGTGATCATCCCATGCAAATTATAACCAATTTCTCAATATTTTCAAGAATTTGGCACACCATTGTATATACTTCCAAAATATGATTTGAGTGACTGCATTATACTTCACATTAGATGAATATAGTATAACCCCCTATTGTTAGGATTTTAGCACTTTCCACATTTTCTGATTGTAATGGGCATCTTTCTACATTAATCTACTTGTATACCTTGAACATATTAATTCTAAACAGATCAGCCTACATGTCTGATACACAGAATCTATAAAGTGTTAACTCCTACAGGCTCATATGCTTACTCCACCCTCACACTGTGTGTGTGTGTGTGTGTGTGTGTGTGTGTGTGTGTGTGTGTGTGTGTTTTGGCAGATGAGGAACATCAGAAAATCCGTTAAATCCATTTTCTGGGTCCCCAGCTGGAAGATGCAGAGGGTGTGATCCATGTATATTTTGTCCCAGACTAACCTGTGTGCAGCAGACTGGGTGCTGCTGGCCTGAGTGGTCTAAGTGGGGACAGGCCAGGGTCAGAAAAAGGTCCCTCCTGCCACTCACAGACTCAGAATCTCAGTGACAGAAGGAAGACGGTGCAATGCAGTGAAAAGGTGCTGGCCTGGGACCCAGGAAACCTGACCTCTGGTCTTGGCTCAGTGTGACTTGGGAGCATTTTTCCTCTCTGACCCTCAGTCTCTTCATCAGTAATATGAGAGGTTCAACTAGATGACCTCCACAATCCCTTCTAAAACTAGTAATCTATCTGCATCTTGGATTCCTTCCTCCCCATGCTCCTGCCCAATCATATAGGACTGTTCTGTGCGGCCCTTGTACTTATTAATTCCCCGATTGGAGAAGGCATTTGCAGGCACCTGCTCCTTGAGGAACACAAGTCAGGGGCAGGGGGCTCTGCAGAACTTCTCCAAGAGGAATTGACCAGGCAACCAGGGACTCTGGCCTAACCCAGGTTGGACACAGGTGAGCTGCAGACACACCTGCTTATTTCTGGAAGGGGGTTGTTCCCAATAGTCCTGGGGCAGGAGTGGAGAGTGGGAGCACTTTGGTACCTACCTGGCAAGGTGAGGACCAGAGCAAGCAGCACCCTCGCCAGCCTGGCAGGAATCATCTGCAGAGAAGCAGGAGAAATGAGCTGGTGGTCACTGCCCACATAGATGGCTGCTGGTATGTGCTACTGTCCATGCGTGAAATGGAAAGAACATTACTTTTAAGCAAGAGAAAAGATTGATCCTCATTGGCCTGAGTTTGCCTTTGAACATGGAGTGCTGGTCCCAAAACAAAGTCCCTGGCCGGGCCCAAGAGTAACAGTCACTGTGAGCCAGGACCCTGGCTCCTTTCCCAAACAGCAGTCTCAGAGCCAGGACAGTGAGGAGGGCTCCACCTTCTCCTCTGCACGCCTCCGGGCCAGCCTGGCCCTTCTCATTTCCCTGCATGCCTGCAGAAGTTAACAGCTAGTTCACACCTAATTCCTTCCTGCCCCTTCCACACTTGGCAGCAAACAGGAGGATAGAAACTATCTTTTGCTTTTGTTCCTACCCAGACACCCCGACTTGGAGAACTCTCAGGAACCACGTTTGCTGGTCAGTCACCCTTGCTGTTCCATGAGCTCCTCACTCATCTCCATCCCCCAGTACCCAGGAGATGTCGGGCAGTTGATCTGATTGATGTTCAGAAGTCCAGCAGCCCTGAGCCTGGACAAGAGTACCCACTGTGTGGCCCACCAGGGAGAGACAATTGACACTGGCTGGCAGAGCACACATCCTTTAGAGCCCCTGTCACATTTGCTAAATTAAGTGTGGAATCTGGCCCTTGAGATTCACTGGAGGTGACTCCTTTCCCACCCAATACCCCAGCCAGCCAAACAAAGAGAGATAAACCCCATCTATTACATATACAGCGGGGCCTTGACTTACCAGTGTCCCGACTAACGAGTTTTTCGAGATACGAGCCATCTCTCGGCCGATTTTTTGCTTTGAGTTAAGAGCCAGCTTCAGATACCCCACCGCTAGTTGGCACAGCGAACGTCACAGTGAACGCCACAACATCAGCCCAGCATCACGAGTCTCACTCGTTCACTTTAATGATTTGACATACGAGTAATTTGAGTTACGAGCTCCGTCACAGAACGAATTAAACTCGTAAGTCAAGGCCCCACTGTATGTGGAAGGAATACTTTGATGTCAGTCATGGCCAAGTCTTGGTCCCAACGCAGATGCCCTCTCCCACAGCCTCCCCACACACAGGCACAGCAGGCTGCTCCCAGAAAGTACCAGAGGTGGGGGCAAGGCTTGCTCCAGTCTCCTGTAGTCGAGTAGTATAAACAGAAAGCCCAGGCAGGAACAGAAGCAGCCACAGGACCGCCAGAGGCAAGTGGACGAGGGGGCATTAGGATGGTCCCTGGCTTTGAATCACCCTCTAAACAAGGCCCTTCTAGTCCAGGGAGTGAGAAGCCCAGCTCCCCAGGGGGAGGGGTCAGCCCTGATTTTTCTCCCACAACTGAGCCAGCCCTCCTCCCAGAAGACCATACCTTCCCCTGCAAATGGGGCTGCAGGTATCTCCAAGGTCCCTTGGGAAACAGGCACACAGCAGCCGCCAGCCCTAGGCCATGCTCTCCAGTGGCTGCTGCACTGATGGGGTTGCCGCAGCTCTGCCCCGGCTTGCTGCTGACTGGCCCAGGGACTGCGGACTCCCTGCAGCCAGGCAGATAAAACCCAAGTGGTGACGTCCACCAGCCACCCCCTTCCCACCACAATAGCTGTGAACTGCCACAACAGGGGACTGGCCTCCTCTTAATGACCAAGAGGAAACAATGAACGGAAATGGTATTAGAAATACCTCCAAGCCGATAAGGCTTTGAACAGTTTGGTGGGAGACCTCTTGGCAGCTGCCATAATGAGCTGCCTTGCCCTCCCCATGCCCCCTAACACTCATCCCTGGTCCTCCCCATACAGGCGGGTCCAGGCCAGGGAGGAATCCAGCCAGATCCAGCTTCGAGATCCGGCTTCTAAGGCCAGATTTTAGGGAAGTTTAGAAAACACCTCAACCTGAGCCAATTTAGTCACCACATTTAGAGGAAGGACAGGACTAATGCTTCCTGTCCACGTTAGGTATTTTGAATGGTCCCGTTCTGGCCCCTGACAAAAACAGTCAGTTTGGGTCCTGGCCAGGGTTAATGGACAAGTTAAAGATGAGGGGGCTGGTCAGAAGTCCAGGCTTTTGTAAAATGATGACTGAGATGGTTTGCTTCTAATAGTCCTCCCAAAGATTCTTCTACCACTCGTCCCCTGACCTTACACACACACACACACACACACACACACACACACACACACACACCAATCCTTCTTCTCAACCTCCAATTCCCAGGAGCCTAATTCAGAACATCATCTGCTAAATTCATTCCTGCTAAAAGAGGTAGCTGATAAAATAGGGGAGGAATAGCCCTAGCGGGTTTGGATTAGTGGGTAGGGCATAGTCCTGTGGACTGAAGGGTCCTGGGTTCAATTCTGGTCAAGGGCATGTACTTCTGTTGCAGGTTCCATCCCTGGTCCCAGTCAGGACACCTACGGGAGGCAACCAATTGATGTGTCTCTCTGGCATCGATGTTTTCTCCCTCCCTGTCTCTCCTCCTCCCTTCCACTCTCTCTAAAAATTAAAATAAGTAGAGGAGGAATGTGACTCTCATGGTGGGATTCCAGGCATGACGACAAGCAACCTAAGACATTTAAGTAAGGAAGCCCACCTCATTGCTTCTCATGTGATACCTAACCTGCCCTAAGACTGGGAAACCATTATGTCCCCAACCTCCTCCCTTTCCCGCACACATACTTCACACTCAATCACTCCTTTTATCAATCTAGGAGAAGATGAATATTCCCAAGAAAAAAATGGTAAAGGAGGCAGAATCGCCATAATATAATAGAAAAGGTACTTAAGGATTTCCAATTTCCAGCTTTTTTTAAATAATTAGGTAAAATCCATTTACTACAAAATATCTTGATATACTGTTTTAAATATGACAAATGTCCTTTAAATACACAGCTAAACTGGGAGGGAAATAATAGCTCCAAGGATCAAGGAGAAAAAGCACCCAAGTGAGCAGGAAGCGGGAGCCTCTGTAGTTATCCATTCTTGGTTTCCTCCAGGCTGGAGGCCGAGCCTTGCAACAACAGGAAATGAGGCTTTGGGCCTGAGTCAGGAGGAGCCCTGCACCAGGCTGACACCCTGGAAGGGACCCAGTTTCCCAATGGTGGACTAGAGAAAAATTCAGCACCAACATAGAAGACAAGAACTTGTTTATCTCCATCTGTTTTGAAGGTGGGACATTAAGTCTTTCTATATATACAATTTGTAGCCATGAGCTTGCACTCATATAGGTTTCAGGTTAAAATTGACATTCCCATGTGGTTCAGAAACTCCCATGCTGAGAAGTGGCACAGATGTTAGTCTGCGGTCAATACCTGGGGTTCCTGGCAGAAACAAACAGAAATCTACCTAAAAGGATACACCTTCTTACCCTGGCTAGTGTGGCTCAGTTGGTTGAACATTGTCCCATGCACTGAGAGGTCATTGGTTCAATTCTCCATCAGAGCACATGCCTGTTAATACTGGGGTACATATGAACAGGCAGTGATTGCATAAAAATAACAATAATGATGGTAAATTGCTTTGGAACCAAAATACCAGATGAGCAATAGCACCTAATTGGAGCTGTGATGAGAGTGAAAGGGTATTAAGGTCCTTGTATTGCTCAGAAGAAAGAAAGAGGTGATAACTGGACTTTGTTAAGGCTAGAATGCATAGTAAAATTTTAAGAGAAGCTACTAAAAGAATAGAATTGAATGTACATATTCCAAACCAATGGGAGAAAACAGAAATTAGGGAAACTAGATTGACCTGGGAGAAAAGATGGAAAAAGTAGGGGAAATAGCAAAATGGGATAATAAATATCTAACCATTGGTAAACAACAATGAAAAGTAAGAGATTATCAGAGTAGGTGTCTTTTGAAAGACACACCATTCAGCAATGTTCAAGAGATGAGCTGAAAACATAAAAACACAGAGACTGCAAGAGGAAAAAAGAAAAAGGCAAATGACAACCAAGAGAAAGCTGATTCTACTACATTCAGACAAAGCACTTCTTAGGATGAAGGTATTATTAGAGACAAAGAGGATAAAAGATGATGAAAAGATGAATGCAGCAGGAAGATAGAATTAAAGATTCATATGTACTTCATAACATAAGCTCAAAATGTAGAAAGGACAAAATTATTGAATTATAAGGCAAAGCAGAAAAGGCTTTGAGTAAAAGTCAACAACATCCACTATGGAAAACATGCAAACAAAAACATCTAGGTGACCTACAAGAAGAAAAGAACGTCCTTGACCTAAGAAACAGAGCAAACTTCAGAATTCTGGTAAAATATAAGCCACTTTCCCTGTTAAAACCAGAACAAGACAAAGACAGTCAACATCATCACTGCTAGTCAACGTTGGATCAGATGTCCAGGCCAGTACTGAAAAAAAGAAAATACAAGGTATATAGCTTCTACAGGAAAAGGCATTAGTTATTATTTGAAGATATATAACTGTCTACATAGGAAAATTCCAGAGAATTCTACATAAAAGAATCTACGTAAGAGAATTCTCTGTAAGAGAATTTTATGAGTCAAGCAGCTTGTTAAAACAAGGTTATCTTTAAAATCTATTATGTTCCTGTATAATTATAAAGCATAACCTTAAAGGGACCTTATTAGTAAAACAACAAATACAATAAAATCTGCATAATACCATATGCAGAAAATCATAAATTTTGTTACAAGACATTAAAGAAAAACCAATGGGAAAGTATGCTGTGTTCATATTAAGTCACAATATTGTAAATTTACCAATTATTCTCAAATTAGTCTATAAATCAAATGCAATAACAAAATGGAACAAGGGTTTTCATGAAATTAGGCAATCTGATTGAAAATCAATATGGAAACAAAGGATTAAAAGTCACTCAGACAATTTCAAATTTAAGATGATCACTAAGAAACAAACAATGGCTATTTTTAAAAGACAAGAAATAATATAAGGGTTGGTGAGGATGTGGAGAAAAGGGAACCTTCATGCACTATTGATGAGAACATAAATCAGTGCGGCCACTGTGGAAAATAAAATAGAGGTTCCTCAAAAAATTAAAAATAGAATTAACATGTGATCCAGCAACTTCACTTCTGGATACTTAACTGTAGGAAACAAAAACACTAATTCAAAAAATATATATGCACCCCATGTTCACTCCAGCATTATTTACAGTAGCCAAGATATGGAAATAATCAGAATTATGGTAAAATATAAGCCACCAAGTGTCCACCAATGGATGAAGGAATAAAGAAAATGTGATACATATATACAATATAATATTATTCAGTAGAGTGAAATCTTGCCATTTGCAACAACGTGAATGGACTTTTAGGGCATTATGCTAAGTGAAATAAGAGAGAAAGACAAATACTATAGGATCTCCCTTGTATGTGGGCTCTAAAAATAAAAATAAAATAAAAATTGAACTCATAGGTACAGAGAACAGGTTGGTGGTTGCCAGAGGTGGGGGGTAGGAGGGTGAAGAGGGTTAGAAGGTACAAACTAAATAAATCAGTCATGGATGTAACCTACAGCATGGTAACGATAGTTAATAGTACTGCGTTGTATATTTAAAAGTTGCTGAGAGTAAATGTTTAAAGTCCTCATAACAAGGGAAAAAATTTTGTAAGTCTGTGTGGTGATGAATGTTAACTAAACTTATGGTGATCATTTCACAATATATACAAATATCAAATCATTATGTTGTACACCTGAAATAAATATAATATTGTATGTCAATTATATCTAATTTTTTAAAGAATTTAAATGGACATACAAGCAAGTGGACATAGATAAATGACGTGGAAAGACAATTCACAGAAAAGGACGAAACCCAGTGGGCCGGTAAACATATGAAAAACCGTTCAACCCCATCGATCACCAGGGAATTCCAAAATAAAACCTCAGTTAGTTATCTTCCCATCAGATTGCCAAGGCTGTGGGACTGCTGGAACTATTAGCTGTTGTTAGGACAGATGGTATACCACTTTGGAGAAAAACGTGGAAATAGCTGTTAAACTTAAGGATGATCTTGCGCACGGCCCAGCAATCGCACTCCTAGGCATCTTCCCAAAGAAACATTCATCCACATGCACAAAGCAACCTGCACAGAATGTTCACTGCAGCAGCGAAGGCAGTTCACAAACATATGTAAACAACATAAATGTACTTCAACCGCATGAATAAATCGTGGCACATTCATGCTATGAAATACCAAACAACAGTTAAAGAATCATCTAGGCTACACATACCAACACAGATAAATCCCAAAAATAATGGTGAACAAAAATAAAAACAAGTATCTGAGGATTTCTATGGCATGATAGCGTTTATGTCAAATTAAAGACCATGTAAGCCTGACTGGTGTGGCTCAGTGGTTGAGCATCAACTTATGAACCAGAAGGTCACGGTTTGATTTCAGATCAGGGCACATGCCCAGGTTGCGGGCTCGACCCCCATTGTGGGGCTTGCAGGAGGTATCCGATCAATGATTCTCTCTCACCACTGATGTTTCCATCTCTCTTTCCCTCTCTGAAATCTATAAAAATATATATTTCTTAAAAAGACCATGTAAAATAAAACTGTATTAATTGTGGGGAAACTGTTTAATTGT